ATTTTAAGTTCGAAGAAATAGAGTTTTGAGTACCTATTTTTGTTCCTTGTTGAATATATTAGAATATGTGGAGTTTGGCTGGCTGTTGTTAGTAGAAACAAAAGAATCATTTGTTTGAAATCATTTGAAGATGATTTCTAGAAATCACGAGCCATTAGCGCATATACTTTTTCAATTGATAAAGTTTAGGATGGCCCCAACATCACCTTCCTCTGATTTTCTTTTAACACGACCTTAGAAAGGTTCTCCCTAGTATGAGGGAGAGGTTTTGTGCCTAAAATCTTACATGAATTTCATCAAGATCATTATTTAGTCCCATGAAGAAGTTAAATACACGTTTCTTCTCGATGATCACTTTGTAGAGTGCTTCATCACCATGACACTTCTAATCAAGGACTTTAAATAGATCCAATTGCTACCATTTGTGTTTGAAAGAGTTGAAGTAAAGTGTAACGAATAAGTCACCTTGTTATATTTCATGGAGGATTTTCTGCATTGAAAAGAGTTCTGATATATTTTCATAACTTGTATAGGTTTCTTTGGAAGCTTCCTAAATTTCATTAGCAGTAAGTAGAGTGAGAAATTCTCTCCAAGCAAGATAATAAAGAAGTTGATAAACCATTACCTTGACATATTGTTATCTAGTTTCCAAACCTTATATGCTAGATCTCCTTTTTTGGTGTAGTTCTTGATCCCGTAAGGCAGTCATATGTGCCTCTTCTATTGATGAACACCGTTAGGAAATGTAACCTTTGAAAATATTTGTGGCCATTGAGCTTGTGCTGTGATTGGAATAGTATTATTTTCAGCTCCATTAGTAGGCTGAGAAATAAGAGGCTCAGGTTCAAAGGTGAATTCAGACATGGTGGATTATCCTCCAGAGGCCATTTCATATATTATCATCTATATGGCCAGAGCATAGGACAAGGCAAGCTGGTTTATGATGCAATGAAGAAATAGAGAATAAAAGAGGAGAAAATCATTATGATACAATGCAAATATACATTTTTATTCGCTTCTTGTGAAAATCATTACAATATATAGAGTTCAAGAGGCTATTTGCTATCAAGTATTTAGAATTTAGGGTATTTAAGATTTAATGTAAAATAAATATAGTATATTTGCAATAGAAAAATCCCAAAATGATCCCAAACTATTCATGCGTGGCCAATTCAGTCCTAGAGTATCATGTTGCTCCAATATAATCCATCGGTTATAAAAAATTGATTTAGAATAGCCCCTCATGTTGTAATTGTAATATAAAATTGATTCCAATTTAGTCTCAAAGGGGCCATTTTGAATCAATTTTAGAAAGCTGAGATACTAAATTAGAGTCAACGTCATACTCTGAGACTATAATGATCATATGCGAATTGTCTGGGGACTATTTTGAAATTTAACCGGTATTTGTAAGACTAAGAAGTTGTTCGGTTGATTGAAAAATAAATCTTTGAGATCACTTTGTTTGGTCTAAATTAAAATAATTTAAAGAACCTAGGGTTAGGACACGACAATTGGGTTTTGGAGGTTGACAATACCAGGATTAAGACAAAATTCGGCATGGCGTGGAAGAACCTAGGGTTAGGACACGACAATTAAGTTTTGGAGGTTGATCATGCCAGGATTGGGACAAAATTCGGCATGGCATGGAGGGGGCAAGGTCGATAGGGTTGCGCTAGCGTGGAGAGGGACAAATGTTAGTGAGGTCGTGTTCATATAAATAGGGGTGGATGTTGGCAAGGTCATGTTGACTAGGAAGTCTTGTTGGTGCGTAAAGTGGCGGATGTTGATGATGTTGAGTTGACTCAGAGGTCTGGTGGTATCGCGATGGTCACATTGTTGTGAGGTGTCACATTGTGTCATGATGTTATTGCAAAACAGTGTATTTAGAGGTTGCCATATTCTGGCGAATTCTAATTTTTAAGTCACTTCATTTGGTTTACTTTATTCTCGCAATACTTGCAGCTAAACAGCCCCTAAGACCCAACAATGAAAGAAAATGAACCTAATACACGCTAACCTGGAATTAAGTAATAAATGATGTCAAAATTTAAATCAAAGATTAGGCAGAGTTAATATGGAAAAACAATAATGGAAAATATCATGGAGCCATGGGGGGGACTGTGACTGCTGTAATTATTCCTTTGGTGTGTGATTAAATAAACCTCATTCGTCTGGCACCATTTTAGGTGATTGACAGTAAACGTCAACACAGTAATGTCCAAATTTGCTTCCAGCCATGTAAGAAAATTGACAATAAACAACCACACATTACTGTCCAGATTTGTTTTCAACCATATAATTACTATCCACTTTGCTTACACAGATTGATCCGTTAGCCGTGTAATTACTGCTTTCCGGAAAACACGAGAGGAAATATATACATGCATAAACTTGGGTAGTATTGGGTAGTTTATGCAATTTATAAACGACCCAATAAGTTGAATTTTTCCAAGAAAGGCAAGCCATAAATTTCTCCTATGGCAAGCCATGGTTTGCATCAAACCGTCCAGATTTCCAACAATTCAACTAAGCATATGCATCTTTCTTCAATTGAGGATTTTGAGAATTGATCACGTTTGTTGGTTTAAACAATTCAATATCTTCCATGGTTTATATTTTTAAGTACGTACACCCACAAATTAAACCTTGTACACTTATAAAAACTTAGAGGCTTCTATATGCCATTAGACTTTCAACTTTTCATCATCAAATTTCCAAATCAAGACAATGATAGGTTCTGCGACATAAACTTTGTGTGTAAAGTTTTTAGTCAAGATGTGGCCAGGCCTTTTAAATTGGACATGGGGACTATTAATTGGCCGGTGTTTGCAATGCCTTTCAAAAGCTCAACCTGGCTAGTTCCATGGGATCATAGTCAACTTTTATTTTAATTGGCTCAAGTCTAGTTCATTTTCATTATTTTTATTGAAACAAATTTTATCTCTGGCAATCTGCTGACCTTCGGTTAAGAAAGTTGATTTAATTGCCTTTGTTTCTTGCTTGACCTGTTCTTCATAAATGTGCATTTATGATTCTTTACTTTATTATGCACGTGAGCTATGCTACTGTCCGAACATCGTAAAATTCTTGCTGTATTTATCTAATTTTTTTGTTTGGGATGCACTGAACCTCCCGTTCTGTTTCTTTTGCATGATGCAAGTGTTATTCAATGTAAGTATTTGTTTCATTCGTAACTTTAATCAGTTCCTATTCTGTAGAGGTACTCCGCCTATATTTTAAGCACAAATTGGAGGAGCTAAATACCATGATAGCTGTCAATTATAAAGATGGAATGGAATCTTTGAATAATGACAGAAATCTTAAGTATAATGTTCCAGATGAAATGAACATTGATGGGAGCCATCCTGAATCTGCCGTATCTAAGAACTATACTTTGGTCAAATGTATTGGAAAGGTTGTTCTTGATCTTAGAAATCTTGGGTTTACAGCTTTGACTGAAGATGCTTATGCTTCTTCTATCATTCAGCTTTTGAAGGTTAGTGTTTATTGGGCATCATCAATTACTTTTTAGTTGAATCTCCATGCCAAAATATTTTGTTCCTGTACCTCACACTCTCTCGGTTTCATATAGACGTTCATGTGCATATGAACTCATTCAGACATGCACAAAGAGTGAGAGCTTACAGGTGCCTTTTACTCCCTGAAACAGGCCAAAGTTCAAAACTTAGCTGTTGATGATTATAGGACCCCTGTTTTGCAGTCTATTAAGGAGTGGATACAGGTATGCTTTTAAATAATTGTCAATATATGCATTAGGAACTGAGGAATTAATGTGATTATTTTTGTTTTTTGTCCACATTAGGTTGCTTGTGAGCTCTGCATTGTAAATCATCTGTTGATAATCCAAACGTCTTTTATGTTAGCTCTATTTTTTAGGTTGATGGTTATCTAAAGCATGTTTGCTTGTGTATCATTTAACTATGACGAGACATAACATGAGTTCATGTCTAGTATTTTTTGTTTCCATTAGAGGAATTAATGGTAATCTGAAGCTGCTGGTGATCCAGCAATCCTTAATCTATCCTATATTCCAACTAGAACTCATATGTAGTCTAATAATAATGTAGTTTGGTTTAACCTAACAACATAGTGTGCCAAATTTGACAAAATTTGACCGATGATGTATTGGCATTCCTTGAAGGAGATATAATTTACAGTTTTTCATGGTTTAAACATTTATGCAACTGCATTCCTTCGTGTTAACTTAATTCCTGAAATTAATGAGATATGAAGTGTTGGTAATGCAGTATTGAGAATATGGTATGACTATTCAGCCAATCCAGTTTTGACATGTACTCTTGGTCAACAACTGAATCAAACCACGCAAGAATTTAGCTGAAAATAGTGGACTAAAAAACTGGAAATGGAAGACAAGTTTATGCAGATTATCTTTGCCTACATCCACTTCTAGGAATGTAAAAGCTCAGTGATCTTCCTCCATCTTGTTCTTTTTCTCTTCCTCTCAATCTTTTTGTTCAAAAGTACTTAACCATATTATCTTTTCCTATGGCAGGCGGAGGAAAAATTCAATAAAAAGCCCCTTTTAGGTTTCTTTACAGAAATTAAGGAGATGAAAATGTTTAAAATTTGGTTGAGTCTGTATCATATAATAGACTTCAAACTAACTTTTGAACCTGTAATAATCCAGATCACCCTTCTGAATTTGTACCTATATTTTAAAAGAAATATTGGGCTTTGCAAATTATCAGCTTTCATTATTAATTAGAATTTTATTTCCTTTATACATAGGGCTTTCATTATCGATTATTGATTATTGAAGTTATGATAAATTCAATGAAAATTTCCTATACCCATCTTTTACAAGCTCGTAACTGGAAATTAGTTCATGACTTTTTAAAGGTTGGAAGCATTGATAAGTAAAATTGAAATATTAAAAGGTCTTTACTTAAATTCATGGCCGTGACAACTTCCTCTCGGCAATTTAAGTTTTCAATCCATGCTATTCTTGAGCTGTTGCAGTCGTCTTCAGTAGTTGTTAAGCCATTTTCATAAGCATGTTGCTCATGATTATCCTATATCTATTAACGTTTACATCTATTTTGTATGCTTCTTTCAGGCTGTTCCACTCCAGTTCCTGCATGCTCTTTTATGCTATTTAGGGGACTCGTTTGACAATGATGTTTCATCTGGCCCTATATCACCATTGGCTTCACGCCCTCTTTCTTATCCTGGTATTGATGCTCCCTCTGAAGGGCTTGTCAGGTGGCAGTTACGGTTGGAGTATTTTGCTTATGAAAAGCTACAAGACTTGAGAATCGGGAAACTTTTTGAAATTATTGTTGATTACCCTGACAGGTCGTAGTTGACTTTTTTTGGTTAATTTAGCAAACTAACAATTCTTAAATTATATTAAAATGCGGGCATATATAATACATCTTTTGAATATTGTTATTAACTTATTTCCCCAATCACTTACGTTATGTATGCAATTGGTGGCTTTTTTTAGTTCCTGATACAATGTAGTACATAGATGAGAGGTCTTTCAGCAGCATCATATTTTCATGTTACATGACTCATGCCTCATTTTACTGACTTTTGGCTTCTTGGAGGGATAAACATGGTAATTCTACTAGACATATCCTTTCTTTTCTTTGTTGAGCATCTTTCCTAATATATCGATGTAAATAAATTTCCTTGATGAATCTGAATTAAATTTTGTTATTTTCATCTATTCGGCTAATCGCAAGGCTTTTCACTAAATTCTGCCAAATAACTTGTGACAGCTAGCCATCATCGCATCATCATTGGTCTTATCCCAAATGTTTGGGATTGAAGATGGATTTTTGAATCCTCTTTGATTCATTCTTGTGCAATATGAGGTTCTAACTTCATTTTGCACAAGTTCATATAACGATGTTACTTTTGGCCTAACCTTATTTTACTTTCTATTCAATGATTCAATCCATATTAGTTCTATCTTCTTATCTTATTGGCTAATCTTTTTTCCCACATTTTACATGTTCAAACCTCCTAAATTTATTATCCATTATTTTTACTTAATAAATGCTACTTCCAATTTTCTCATAATATAATCATTTTTCAATAGGTTATGCATTTATCTCAACATTTCCAATAAGAAAATGACTAAAATGGTCCCTTGACTTTTTATGAAAGATCAAAATAGTTTCAACTATATTAAAGAACTATTTTGATCTCTTAGCTCCTATTGACTGTCAATTAATAGACCGGCACCCACACACGATCCATGACACAAACCCACGTTCCCACGTTATGGAAATAACCACCACCTCAGTCGTATAAAAAGAACGAAGAGACGAGAGAGGGACTTACGCTCACTTGGCAATTGAATTCGGAGAGCTCTCTGACTTTGGTGATTTCTTTTTTCCTCCCAACAACTCGTGAACGAGACTTCGCTCGTTCGCCTCCTCTTGCATACGCACAGACAACCGCATATCCGCGATCCTTCTCTGACCGCACCTCCTTCGGCGAATTCGAACGAAACCCGACACCATCCCAACTCCCATCCACACAGACGCTAGGTCATCTTCGGCATTTATGTTCGCTTGCCCACATACAAAGAACTCGGATAAATCTCCTTCACTTGCTTTTGATCTATACAGTCCAAGCACCCACACGCTTGATCGCACACTCACGATTCACGAAGCCTTCTACCTGCACGTTGCCTGTGTCCATCATCCTCTTGATCCGACACCTATTCACGCGAACGAAACCCCAACGCCTGAGCCGTCCGCCCCTTTGTTGTCAAAATTTTGAGTAAGTGAAGGAGAGGGGTTTGTTTATATTTACTAATATATAATAATAATAATAATAATAGCTATAATAAAGAAAAGTGGCGTCGTGATCAATAATCGGAGCTTCAAAAGACTATTTATGTGACCCGACAACGTCCCGAAGCCCTCGGCTATTGAATCCTATTTGGCTGGGTAGGTTTGAAAAGGCAAGTGCCCTCCCTTACCTCCCCTCGCGGGGAGGGGACATCGGGAGGTTGCCGAAATTTCTCCAAAATTATCGTATTGAACTTGTACAGATTTTGGAAATATTGAAAAACATTCAATTTATTAATTTAACTTTAAAAAAATAATTATAAATAGCAATTCTAAATTTCTAATTAAAATAAACTAAATGCTTAAATGAACTAATTAATTGATTTTTAACAGTAAAATTAAAATCCAAACTAAAGTTCAATATATTGGAATTTTTAAAATTTAAAACTTAAATTAAATTAAACCTTTAAAATAAAATTAAAATTCAAATTTTAAACTAAAATTTAATTGATTTAAAATTCAATTTAATAATTAACTAAAATAAAAATCAAAACTCTAATTAACTAAACCATGCAATTTAATTTAAATCTTCTTATTTGAAATTTTAAATCAACTAACTTAACTTGGAAAGAAAATCCACTGGGCACATCAAGTGTTCCCTTGCTCAGCTACCAAAAAGATCTCTTCATGATTCATCTCAACGAACACTGATATCCCTAATAGAAATAAGTTTGTTCCTAATAAAGGAGGAGCTTGGTGACAATTCATACGTTATAGACTTGCTCGACCATAGATCTTCAATTTTAGAGGTATCATTGAATATCGTCCATTTGTTGCTATCATCGAGCTCTCTATAAGACTAGGGAGATTGATGCAGTAACCTGCTTATTTTCGTTATCTTGCTGCCCACATCAAATGTTCCTTGGCTCATGCTATTTTGCAATGATTAATCCTCTATTATTTTGCTTTTTTCTTTTTTCTGATTTTTTTGTCTCACTTCTAGTTTGTTTGCCCTTTTTTCCAAACGAATATTTTAGGTGTGGTTTTTAGAAGTGTTTGATATAAAATGACTACAAAGGGGAGCATATAGATAATTTTTGCTTCGATAATATTCCGAAAGAGTAGTGAAGGAACTCTTTTTTTCTCATGCTCCATTAAAGGTTGGGATCCTCCTCCCTTCACCGAAGGTTGACTTTATTTTCTCACTATGTTAGGTTACATCTCTTATGACATAGTACTCATAAGAAACTTTTTCTCCTTAGTCACCAAATTTTAACTCTATAAAAGTTGGATCTTATCATTTTCCCATTTCTCTAGAGTCCTTAAACCTATCACATCTTAACATCACTTGATATTGCAGCAATCTTGTCAATACTTAGCAAATTTTTATCATTAAATGACATATCAGTTATTTTTTTCATGCTCTACTAATTCTAGACCTCTTTTCTTTTAAAGTTTCTCTTCATATCTCTTACTTTTTTTTACTGTAGAAGATGCATAAAATCTATGAGAGATGCCAACTGTAATTATAAAATAGCTTGCACCAAGGTATATTTTAGATATTTTTTATAAGCATCTATTTTTCCAGTAGGTCCAATACAACTAGATTCGAACTTATGGTATGCCTTAATGTATTTAGTTTTGATTGAAAAGTTTTTGATCACTCAAGGGTTCTAGAATTCATCATAAATCTTCTTAACAAACAATTGAGCATGATGTTGACTATTGGGTCAAGTTATGGATTAGTACCTTGCAAATTGAGCTGAAGCTTTTGTTTTGTATTCAAGTTTATGGTGTCCTCCCGTCTTCTCTTCAAGTTGAGGTCCTTTTAACCTTCTATGGATGGATTCAGCTTGCTAAATTTTGTCCTCTATCGTTGTTCATGCAGCTCTCCCGCAATTGAAGATCTAAAGCAATGTCTGGAGTATACTGGGCAACATTCAAAACTTGTCGATTCATTTATTTCTTCATTGCGATATCGATTGCTTACAGCTGGTGCTTCCACTAATGACATACTGCACCAATATGTTTCAACCATCAAAGCACTTCGAACTATTGGTCCAACTGGTGTATTTTTGGAGGCAGTAGGAGAGCCAATAAGGGACTATCTGAGGGGAAGAAAGGACACAATTAAATGCATTGTTACCATGCTTACTGATGGAAGTGGGATAAACCCTAGTGGAATGGGCAATACTGGTGATAGCCTTCTTGAAGAATTAAATAGAGAGGCCGAAAATCAAGAAACTGCTGATACTGATGACGATATAAATGTTGATGATAAGCAAGCATGGATTAATGCTGAACGGTATTTGTTCTTTTAATTATTAAAATTAAAAACATTACATGATATCCTTATCATATTTGCTATTATTTCTTTATCTGTAAACTGAACAACTTTAGATGCTTGCATTTGTTTAGTCCATTCATCTTCTTTTTTCAGTTGGGAACCTGATCCGATAGAGGCAGACCCGCTAAGAGGTAGCAGGCAAAGAGGGAAGATTGACATACTTGAAATGCTGGTCAGCATAATTGGTTCAAAAGATCAGCTTGTTAATGAATACCGTGTGATGTTAGCAGAAAAGCTTCTTAACAAATCTGATTATGATATAGACTCAGAGATACGAACTCTAGAACTCCTTAAGGTTAGTTCCTCTTTTGTTTAATATATTAATTGAGGAAAGGAACATTTAAATGTGTATAGTAAGAAAGTGAAGGCAGAATGTGAAATTTTAAGTAGTTGACGTTTCTTGCTACAGTATTTTACTTTAATTTAATAGTAAATTTACTTGTACTGTCTGATCAGATACACTTTGGAGAGAGCAGTATGCAGAAGTGTGAAATAATGGTCAATGATTTGATCAGTTCCAAGCGGATGAATGCTAATATCAAGGCATCCAAATCTCAGCTCGCTATGAATGGTATAGGAACTTTCTTATAAATGGTAACTGTCTATTTATTTACTGCTTTATTTTTATTTTAGCTGTTTCTTCATGAGTGCCTAGGTTCTGAGCAAGGAGAAAGCATGTCTCTGGATCTTGTTGATGCTACAATAATTTCTTCGAACTTTTGGCCACCAATTCAGGTATGAGTCTCAGATTAGGATTAAGTACTTTATCGGCATACATTGCCTTAAATCTTCTCGAGAAATTTATGATAGTTAAAAAAAAATTATACAACCTCTTACATTTCATGCATTAACAGTGAAGCTCTATCGAGCATACTCACCATTATTATGAATTGAAGTTATACTCATAATCATCTTAATCTAGAATGAGATATTGTTGTTTTTGGGCCAATGAATTCAAACATTATGGAAAATTTAATTTGAAGTCTCCTCTTTGTTATGGAATTGAGGCAAATAAAATGGTAAAGTGAGCTGCGAGCTTACACATGCGGCAATTAGGTCCTTTATTGCTTAGTAAATGACAGCTTAAGAAAAGCCAAACCCCATATTTGTGAGATTTCTTGATGTGTAAGATAGGGCTCAGGATTAGTTGCGTTATCCAAGTAGACTTTATAGACTTGTGTTGGATGTTTGTCTAAAGGCACGAATTTAAGTTGACCTTAGCTAAGAGATGGCTTTATGCTCTATCAAGCGTTCTTTATGATTCACTCTACTAAGCGGATTTGGGGCCATTGTGGGATATATGGTTGTTGGTTATGACCATAATTTAAAGGCACCATTTTGTAGCTAATCATTTAGATAGATAATCCTTGTCATAATCATTTATTTGTGGGTCCATTTGGCGACTAAATAATTGTTTGAATACACGTCCCTCATCCTTGCTGACGAGTGGTCTTTAAGGAGTGAGCGTAGTGATACGTTTGATGAGATTTTGAATCTTTGTGAGCTGAGGTCATTCTTAAAGTTATCTCCTGTAAGGCCGGAGTAGTGGATGGTTGTTTCTTTTTGCTATATGGGGCATATTTCGCTTGAACGCCATATATTTTATAATGATTTTTTGGATTTCTAAATTTTTATTAGGATTTGAATCTTAAATTATTTTGTTTTGAGGTTTGAGGAAATTTTGAAAATAGTCTCATTTGATTGATATTTACTTTCAAGACGATCATATCAAGGTATTTGTATTATTTTTATTTTGTTACTTGAATCCTATTAAATATGCTTGCTTGCTTAAAAGGGATCAGGTTGGAGTATTAATTTTATGAGCTATTATATGAGTGGAGTGACCCCAGGGGTTTATATTTTGTAATAAATTTTCCTTGTAAGAGGTGTTGAAGGCCTAACATAAATCTAAACATAATATTCTTGTGAATTTTGCAGTTGTATGCTCATTCATGAATTTACTTAATTAAAATGAGAATATGATTTGAACCTTTTTGAAATTAATTGCTCAAGCATCAAGGTTTCGAGTCTTGTCAACTCCAATTCTTAATAGTACGAGGGTTAGAATTGAAATTTATAACTTACAACTTAACTCTATTAGCAGGGCGGCCCTCTTGAGTGCTTGTTTATATGTTAATGGATTTAACTTTGAAAAAAAGAGTTTGCGAATTTTAAAAATATATTGCATTTTTTATGGCAATTGCATGCTTCTCAAGGCGATGAAGTTCATATTCATATTAATTTGAGTCCATACAACATTCTCGTAGTTAAAATTTATGCATTCAACACGTTTATTGGAGCAGATGCAATCGAGTAATTTTAATGAGTTTTTCTCTAGGATGGTGTTTACATATTTTGATGCATTTGTGTAGTGCAGTTACACATTTCACTATCTTCTTGCATGTTTTTTTTTTTTAAATTTATTTGCATTCTTTTCTATGTGCTTATATGGTGCATTTGTACTATGCATTTGGAGAACGTGCAGGAAAATTTGCCTTCAGTTATTTGATGCATCATACACATTATGTAGAAATGGTTTTATGACTTCTGATGTGCAATAGTGCATTGCTTTGTTTCGTTTTTAAAAAAATTTATTTAAGGTGCGCATAATTCATTCATGGGATGCGCACGAGTCCCTTTTAATGATTAAAAATTAAGTTTGTTAGGGGTTATTTGATTTGAAGTAAAAGTGGTGTAAAAAATTTCAAATGTAGGGATTTGAAGAATATTGGTGTTTGGTTTGATGTAAACCAAATGCAGTGTAAAGTTTGGTATATTTGAAATTCACCCAGTTGTTCATTTTTGGTATATTTGAAATTCCTTCTATTTGGACGATTTCCAAATATGTTAGAACTTCATTTCCTGCCGCCGCTTCCCTTCACTGCTTGCACCGCCGTCCGGAACCCTTGACTGCTGTTAGCCACCATCGTTGCTGATCACCATTAGCCACCACTGTTGGTGACCGCCGCGGCGGCCGCCATTGCTAGTTATACTTTATATTGCATTCATTTTACTTCAAGCAAACAAAAAAGTAATTCTCCACATTTATTTTACACTCATCCAAATAATTCCAAAGTATTTCAAATACACAACATTCCTTTTTTAGCCAACCCAGCAACCCCTTAGGGTATTTGTGTAACCTTTGAGGTGCAACATGTTGGACCATTTTACTTTGTTTGAAAGCCATTCTCATGAACAGATGGTTATTTGAGTTATATGAGTGTCTAATGTAGCAATTATTCACTTGAATGCATTTTCATTGAGTCTCGCTCATGACTTTCATTTTGAATTCATTATTGCTCGCAATCTTTTCACTTTTGCATATTTTGCATATTTGGTTGTGTCACAAGCTAAAATATTTCATTTGTTTTCAAATGTACTTACCTTATCTGTGTATGACCTACATTTGATTTGGGTGGATCCCACATGGAATCATTTTTTTTTCGGTTGTAATTAGGAATTCATTTCATCGAGTGAGTTCTTAAGGTGTTTTGATTGTTTAGATGAGTTCTTTAGTACAATCGAGAAGACATGTTCTCGCTAGTAGGGGTGTCAATTAATGACACAATCCGAAAATCCGACCCATACCCATAGGTAGAGGGAGGGGGGGGTGGTGGCAATGTGTTTAATATAAAGCCTAAAGCAATTTTTTTATAAAAAAAGTAAGACTGAGGCATAATTATCTGGTCACCATTTTTACTACATGTAGTATATTCATAAAAAAATAGTTACAAATTTATTGATCAATTTTTTTTTGTCAAAATGGATCTTAAAAGTATTGTATTTAATTTGAGATATGTTTAATATACATTTTAATTGAATTTTTTATGTTTTGCACTCATTTTAAAGCAATTTACATAAAAATTTTATCATTATTTTTATAAAAAATAAGACATGACAATTCCCTAATTTAACATGCAAGAATATGCTTTAGACTTTATTCGGAATAGTAATCATGCTAATTTTCACAATAACTTTCTTATAAAAATTTTTACTCTAGCAACAATATCATATTACATGCCCAAACAGAGACCACTCCCAAATGGCTTTCTGTTACGAGCGGACCGGTCCCTTCTGGACCGGTCCGATGCTATTCCAGGCGGAAACAGCAAAAAGGGGCGGAACCCCCTGTGGACCCCACGGTTGCTGAAATTAATTTTGGGAGGGAGAATTTTGAATGAGGGGCTGTTTTAGGAAGTCCATTATGGTCCTTTATGATTAATTTGTATAATTAGGAGATGAGGGGGGAAAGAGAGATCATCTGGAATTTGAATGTAATTTGAGATCTAGGTTTTCTTGCTTGGGCTCTTGGCGTTGCCGGAGATTGTTGGAGAGTTGTTCTTCCTCTCGAATCGAAGAACATTGTATCTTGCTTTCGTTTTGATCATCTACTAGTGGAATATAAGTCCATTGGGTGTTTTTCTCTCAGATTTCCTACAGTTTTTCTACTGTTTTCCTGCGATTTGGGCTGTTTTCCTGCAGAAAACAGCAGCTCTATTGCTGTTTTCCCCACTCGAGTCGATAGGAAATACTTGGATCTAAGTATTTCCTATCACTTTCTTTCCCTCGACCCAAATTGCCTGCTTCGTTTTCCCTTTTGCTCCTCTCTCGCAACTCATAACCTCGAGCACGACTTTTGTTTTCCCTTTCGGTCCTCTCTCGCCATGTTATTTGCATTCTTAATTTTGATCTTATAACTCCTCTTAGCTCCAGTAATGAGACGACAAACATAACTATATTAATGTATTCTAAAATTCCAGATGAGATGGCATACCGTCAGAAAATTGACCGTCGGAAAATTCTACCGGTAATGAGTGGTTTTCCTGTAGTGTTTAATTAGGCCCACCTGAATAAAATTTCTGGCTCCGCCACTGCTCATATCCGACCCAAAAATTATTGATTCAGGTCGACACGTTTAACAAACGGGATGGGTTCATGTCCTAATTCTCGACGAATTTTAAAAATTGGGTCATGTTCTGGACAAACCGCTAACCTGGAATTGACCCGAGCTTGATCTACATCCCCTCCTCTTGGCTCTTGCACTGCGACGCGAAAGCAACCTGCACCTCTGTCACGCTTACCTGCCTCACCCCCACAGCTTGCACTCATAGCCTTACAGCCTCGTAGCTTCGCTTGCGCATTCGCCCCCTTGCCTCCTAGCCCACTTGCTTGCGGCCTCGCTTTTGCTAGCACCTGCACTCAACTTCACACCCGCACTCTTGTAGTCGCGCTCAACGCTTTCCTACTCGCACCCGCGGGTGGTGGGTAGGGTCTGGTCAACCTGGATAAGGGGCGGGTCGGGTTTGGGTCTGAATTTCTAACCCATTTGTCTAATTGGGTCAGGTTTTGGTTGCATATGTTGAAGGCAAGTCAGTTTCGGATTGGACTTGAACCTGACCCCAAAATCCATTTTGACTCGCAAGTGAGCTTTTAAGTTCATCACAAGTCCCCCAAAAATCTTATTCATGTTCAACTAGTCTCATATGTATTTTTTTTTCTTAATTTCATTTTATTCTTATTTTGCAATTTGTACTTATCATTTCATTCATTTTGTCATTTCTAGTACATATATAATCCATATTGTTATATTATTTTATTTTTTCTAAGTTTTGTGTTAGTTTGGTTCATTGAATATTTCAACAGGCTATTGGTGCCTTCCCTACATAAGAGTTTGGCCTTCCCATGACGCCAAAAAAGGCGTGTATTGTTGGTGTAAACTTCACAGCTGTGTCTTCTACACCTACTACAACAAGAAAGACGCGTATTAGTCTTACTTGCATGAAAGATTTGCGGAAGAGGATTCCGTGCCACGTCAAGTAGGATGCGTACGTGTATGTGTGTGTGTATATATATATAAACCCTGCCCCTCTACTTTGTTACTTTAGAAAATATATATTTATGAATAAAACATTCTCATTAATTGATTCCTATAAATTTATCTTATAATTAGATACCTCTCCGAATTATTTACTACCATTAAGCATTTAACTTTTCAATTTCATTTACATTATAAATAACATTGCACTCATTTTCTGTTTATTGTATCCCATTTAATGATGTCCAATAAAATTGTACTTAGTTTATTTCTACTTTTCTAGTTACCATTAATCTTTAAACATTTTATTTAATATTTTTCTTAATATTATAATTAACTTTAATACACCATGCATAACATTTCTATTTCCTTTACTTTGCTATTTTATGTTTTAAATATATTGCGACTTTAATATTTTCAAAATTTCTTTAATAACAGAGAGACATAAAATTTTAATTGATGTTTACTATAATATTTTCTCATTTATTTTAGTTAATTAATATATTCTAATTTTACTAAGACTTTTAAATTTCAAAATTTTTATATTAAAAATCTAGGCCAACAAATGTCATATTTTTGCAAATGAAAATCCCATGCCTTGAATACTCCTCAAGGAACTTCATCCTTCACTAATTTTTACTTTTTTCTCCTCACACAAAACTCTAATCAAAATCTTATTGGAATTTAAGTACTATCTATAAAGTTTCCTTTTCCTAAATTTGAGAAGGAATATATAAATTCTCAGCATGCACCAGATCAGTTGCTGATCACTTGTTTGTCCCGACACTTTTGCTGCTCCAGTGCCTGCTAGCCCTCGTTCTAACTCTTGATTGCATGCACTCTTCATCGCTCGCTCTCCCTCGCACTCTTTGTGACTCTCGCTCTGCTGCTCTTGATCGCTTCCACTCTCTCATTCTATTTTTGCATTTAACCCCCCTGTCTCCCTTTCTTATATATAATAATCGGGGATTTTACATTGCCTAGTTGCGATGCATCAAGAATGAAGAATTTTAGATTTTTACTTTGTGAGTTAACCCTTCAACTTATAATATTATAGGAATATTTTATTTTAATATTTTTTTAGCGGGAAAATAGTTCTATGCTGACTGAGACATGCTTCTCTTTGTTCTGATGAATGAGTTGTGGATTTACTACCTTTATTGACCCCTTTGATATTTTTCAGGAGGAATCTCTTCATCTTCCTTTACCTGTTCAACAACTTCTTTCAGATTATGCCGAGCGATTTCATGAAATCAAAACTCCTCGTAAGCTATTATGGAAGAAATATCTTGGAATAGTAAAGGTTAGTGACTCTATCACGTTTTATGATCAACAGTTCCTGTTAATTCTAGAAAACCATTACCCAATTAAGGCCATTTTTGTAACTTGTAGTCAATCATTTCCTTTCACTATGTTGAACATTGATTCTCATCTGCAATTTGAAAGCATTTGTTTTATGCTTCTTTTAATTTCAAATTTTCTGCATTTTAGCTGGAATTACATTTTGATGATCGAAATGTGGAATTCAGTGTCACTCCATTACATGCTGCAATTATCATGCAATTTCAGGAGAAAACGAGGTAAGCAATTTGAAATGTGGCATGTTGCGTTTTCATTAATCCTCTTTCGAACATCATCGCAGTTTATTTGCTGCAGCTGGGCTTCTAAAAGCCTTGCAGCTGCTGTTGGGTTACCTGTAGATATTCTCAACAGAAGAATGAGTTTTTGGATGAGCAAGGTATGGCTGTTATGTTCTTCTGAAGTTAGTTTGCACTCAGATTTTACCAATTCGTGTTCTTATTTGTTCTTGGTACATTACAGTCTATTCCTCTGAAAGGCGCTTAGAACAGTCCTAAACTTAAACTTAAATGTGTTGGTTTCTACTAAAGTATTTGCATTCAATCTAAAACTGGCAATTCTGAAGTTCCCCAAGGAAATGAATGATCCGGGAATATATTTAGAAGTTTTTAGAAGTTGCTAAAGTTCATATATTTTTCCTGTTCACTCTTTATTGGACCAAGGTTTTTAACTATTGTTTGAACTTGACATGTTAGTTTCTTCTGTAGATATTAAAATTTTTTCCCTCTTGCCTATTGTTTTCTTTGATTTTTTGATCTATCACCATTCTCACAACCCAAATGCCAAAAGGTTCCTTTTCTGGCTTTCTCTGATTTTGATATGCGGAGAAACCTGATGTGGCCTATGTATGCTGATAAATTTCATCTATTTGGGCTTGGGAGGATTGGAAGATTGAGCTGTCTGGGTAAGGGATTTAAAAATATTGGTTTAGTTTAATGAGGCTCAAGTTCAGCAATTGATCTTTCTAAATATCTGGTTTCTGTAAAAGTATAACAAACTTGGTTCCACGAACTGCTGAATTCATGCATCTGCTGGCCTTGTTTCCCTGTTGTTCACATGCAAGTCTTTTTCTCTGTTTTTTATGAAAATGACTATGACAATTGGCGACTCCAGTAGCTACCCAAGATTAATACATGGATATATATGTTGAAACCTCTTTCTTTTGAAAGATCTGCCTCTGCCTTCTTTTGTTGGACCGCAATCCTACCAATCAAAGTAGGGATACTACAGCACACAGATTGAGGGTTTTGAGCGCTTGAAGGCCTCAAATGGCAATTTCTGAACTCCATAGCCTCCCCCCTCTTCTTATGGGCTGATTTCATCACTTTTTAATTAATTTTGTAATTAACTTTAATTAATTTTTTTTATAAGTCCCATAAACAAACAGTTGTACGAAAATATGGTAATAAAATTATAGCAGTTTTTCATATCTTTCTACTATCCTTTGTATTCTTTTTTCAGTCTTTATGGTTTCAGAGATGATCCCTAGATTGCTATTCTTATTTTTCAAAGGTGCAGTTCATACCCTAGGCTGCAATCCTTCTCCTGTTGCTGCTGTAATTCTCTTAAGGTGTGTTAAATTATTTTAACTCTGCCTTTATTCGAACATTCATTGATTCGGAACCCACATAAAAACCATCCTATTCAAATCATTACCACTCAATTGAAATGAAGATACTTTTCTTGTTGGTCACATTCAGTTCGAATGTATATGAGACAATCGGTGACATCACCGGAGATTATAAAAAGCCTGATATGAAGGATTTCGCTAATGCCATCTGGGATGCAAAGAACTTTGTGATAATGATGTGGTTAGTCAATAACATGGCTGAAGAGATAAGTGCAAACCACATTTTTCATTCCACTGCCAAAGATTTGTGGGACAATGTCCATAAATTTTCTTTGATTTGAGGAATCAATCCCGCTTATATGATCAAATCCTCTGGCTTTGGGAGATTTTCGAATATGAGGATTCTATAATAAAATATTTCAATTCTCTTAAGAAATTTGGCAAGACTTAGAATTATTCAATGATTTTGTGTGAAAATCATATGAGGATTGTAATTATTATAAAAACATGGTCGATGTTTGTCCCATCTTCAAATTTCTTGCATGCTTAAACATTGAATAAGATGAAGTTTGTGGACGAATCATTGGCAAAGGTGTGAAGAGAAGAAATTCAAAGACAACTGTGCTTGGAAAAAGAACCATGGGTCTTTTGGGCCTGTTGAAGGCTTTGCATTAGCCGTTCTTGAAGCACAACTCAGTCGCAAGACATTCAAATCAACGCAATGGAGATTAGAATAATATTTGCTATGATTACTGAGACAAACCTCGTCATATGAGGGAAACATGTTACAAATTACACAGAAAACTTCCCAATGACATATTTACCTAATATACCATGTAAAATGTTACTGCAACATGTGAAGCTAAATCATCTCTATTTAGAAAAGAGCAGTTAACATTGTTTATTTGAACTTCTAAAATATCATTTCTCTCATCTAATGCTTGTGTGGGTTCTGTGGCACAATTAGGTAAAGAATTTTTAACAGTTTCTATTCTCTAAAGAGAAAAAGATCAAAATAGTTCTGAGTCTTTATGAAAGATCAAAATAGTCCCCAAAAATAGCAAATGATCATTTTAGTCCCTGTTGAAATCCAGCCGTTCCCAGTGTAGAGGATCCGACGGACACAAAGATCAATCCGTGGGATGCTCTCATGGATCACGCCATAATGAAGGAACGAATTTAGGAAAGTTTTTATTAGAGATTTTATTGTATTCTATTATTTCCTCATTAGGATATCTTGTATAGAACTATAAATAGGGAAGATTGTAATGAATAAAGTTAAGCTTTTCCCTCTCAAATTCTCCGCTTTAACATGGTATCAGAGCCAATCGGGAGGCCTTCATTGCCGAACGATCCAACCCTCTAACGCTGCAAGAGCCCGATGCAGAAGTGTCGATCCTCTGCCGATCCCGCCAGTTGCTACTGCAGGCGGACGCCTCGACTTCGTCAGGACTGTCGTCGAAGGAGCCTAGCGAACAACCACGAAGGAAACGAAGGAGCAGTCTTACCCGTGTGAAACCCTCCGTGCGGAAGATACTTCTGAAGCCGATCGGAAGTCCGTCCCGATCGCTGAATGAGAGAAGGGAAACCTGATCCTGCTCTTCCAATCGATCGACAGAACCGCATGAGCATCTTCCCACGCTCGGTGGAGGAGCCTGTTTCGATCTCTGGTTCCAGCTCGGTGGAGGAGCCCGATCCGACTGGAAGGGAAGATCGTCAAAGGAGCAAGCCGCCCGCTCGAACGCCTGGTCCGCCCTCTCCATCTTCTTTTTCGCGGTGCCCTAAGCTACCCGGTCCGATTCTTTTAGAATCGGACGGCCCAGTTTTAGTAAACCGGGAAAGTTTCCTAAAAAAAAAAAATCCTTATTGACCTTTATTGTCGAACAAGGGAAGTTAATTCCGGGAAGCCTTCATTGCTAACCAAGGTAGATAGTCTTAATCACTATCATAATGTCAGAAATCAATTCCTCCGAAATTATTGACCAAACGGAGGAGTCGATAGTTTACCAAGGACGAGGTGATCTTCAAACCTTCCTATCATCTAAATGGGAAGAACTATCTGAAATGGTCTCAATTTGTGAAGACCTACTTGAAGGGGAAAGGTAAAATACATCACCTCCTTGGAGGAGGACCAAAAGAAAGAGATCCCAAATTTTGGGCATGGGATGAAGCAGACTCCATGATTATGTCATGGATGTGGAATTCCATTACTCCAAAAATTAGTGATATATTTATGTTCCTTTCGACGGTAAAGGACATATGGGATGCTGCCAGACAAACCTTCTCCAAAGCTCGTGATGCGGCTCAAATCTTTGAAGTTAAAATCAAAGTCGGAAGCACGAAGCAGGGGAGTAAGACAGTGACGGAGTATGCCACAATTCTACAAAGTTTGTGGCAGGAACTTGATCACTATAGGTGCATTGAAACCAGATGTCCGGAGGATGCTGCGATCCTAAAGAACTTTATTGAAAAAGATAGAGTTTATGATTTTCTTGCAGGACTCAATGCAGAATTTGATCAAGTTAGAGTTCAGATCCTCGGCAAAGAGGAGACACCATCACTCAACGAAATTATTTCTCTCATCCGAGCAGAAGAAAGTCGACGAGGAGTGATGTTGGAACCAAAGGTTGTTGAAAGCTCAACAATGGTGATGAACAAAGAATCACCATGGAAGGAGAAAAGTAAAGATTCTTCGAAATTTAAAGATAAAGACTCACTTTGGTGCAGTTATTGCAAAAAGTCAAGACACACAAAAGAAACATGCTGGAAGATACATGGAAAACACCTAGCAAGGAGTGGAATCAAAAGGGTGAAACAAGGAGCACATCACATGCCAACAACACTACAAGTAAGCTAGAAGCTCAGTCCAGCCTTGGAGAACTCAACAAAGAAGATATTGATAAATTGAAACGACTCCTGGTATCTCTTGAAAAACCAAATGCTTCTTCTTCTTGCACTCTCAGGTAAGACTCCAATTTCTATTAGTTTAAGTGCTTCCAGAAATCATTTAAAAGAATTATGGATCATTGATTCAGACGCCACAGATCATATGACCCACTCACCAACCCACCTCATAAACTATACTCCTTGCCCAAACAGCAAAAAAATCATCACTGCTGATGGTTCTTTTACCACGGTAGCTGGCCAATGAGATATCATATTATCCCCATCCCTAACCCTAAAAAATGTGCTTCACGTACCACAATTATCCACAAACCTGATATCAATACAAAAACTTACCAATGACCATAATTGTCAAGCACTATTTAACCCTACTTATTGCTTATTTCAGGACCAGAGATCGGGGAAGAAGATTGGACTTGCTAAGGAGAGAGCAGGATTGTACTACCTGGAAGAACCAAACCAATCTAAAAGGAGTTGCTCTTTGTTTTCCCTAGCTGATAGGAACTCCACTATTTGGCTTCATCATTATAGACTAGGATATCCATCTTTTGATATCCTAAAACAAATGTATCCACAACTTTTCTATAAATTAGACAATAAAATTTTTCATTGTGAAACTTGTGAGTTGGCTAAACATAAAAGAACCTCGTTCCCAAACAAAAGTGAGAGATGTACTACTCCTTTCTACCTTATTCATAGTGATATATGGGGACCATCTAAAATTCCCAATATCTCTGGGGCACGCTGGTTTGTGTCATTCATTGATGATTGCACTAGAGTCTCTTGGATCTATCTCTTTAAACATAAATTCAATGTTAGCACCATTGTTCCCATCTTTCATTCCATGATAAAAAATCAGTTCGGGGTAAAAATAAGGAGTTTCCGCTCCGATAATGCCAAATATT